GCCAAGGTATTGGCTTCGGCGTCAGGGGCGTGGGTTCGATTCCCACACGGGACAGCTATTTGTGTGACCCACAGATAGTTGTTTCGCATCTGGGTGTTTGTCCGCGTGAAATTTATGTTTGTAAAACGTCCCTACAGCACAGGATAATGTTATCCTAAAGTAAGGGCAATGTTTTTTTTTTAAAAAACGCCTTCCATTTCACGCCTTCTGAGAAGTCGTGGTACCCCCCAGGGAGGATCTATCCCTTCGCGCAGCAGCGAAGACTGTTGCATGGCCCTACACAGTCAAAAATGACAAAAAGTATCAAAATTGAGTGAACAATTATACATTAAGCCGTCATATTAAATATAAACTGAGCTATTCTCTAATGTTTTCTATTTCAGCAAACGTAAACAAGTAAATATAAACATATTAACACTGTGATAATCTTAGTTTTGCTCAAAGCTTCTGCAACTTTCCGTCCTCAGGGTAGAGCATGCAACAGCGAACGGCGAACTGTGCACAATGCATAATCTCACGGGTACATTTTTGTTTGTCGCACACTGGTCATACTTCTTGGCCAACTTCGGCGATTCAGTTTTCTACAAAATGCTAACTGTCGTTAGAATTTTTCCTGTTCTCGATAGTTTTAAAGTTTCGTTTTTATTTGAGACATCGCTTTTTTAGGCTTCTCGGAATATCTAATGTTAAACTCATTCAGTTGAATAAAATTATTAGTAAAGAAGTATTCACACATGGTTGAAATGGCAATTAGTAGAATGGTAAGGCATGACTTATGGATAATGGTGAACTGTAAATAATTTAAAGCACATATCAAGACAACTCTACACAAGCTGACTGTCATGATTGCTAAATATTTATGCAAATAACAATCATGAATTTATGCAAATAATGATAGTCTACCAATTCAATCTTTTTTTATATCAAAATGTTTTAGTTGCTCATTGTTTGTTTCAGTTCGGCCCACTGATAACCCTCGATGGGCAATGGCTAATTGGTAATTAAAAGTTGGCAGCCGCTGTAGCAGGCCGTGCGTCGCGACCCGTTGATTACATTCCGCGATTTCCACAAATTTGTGCATTCGTGGGGCCCACGAACTTTAAATAGCTTCTCTGTTAATTCGCCGCAGACTATTGTGACATGATGACATCATGGGCGCTATATCTCTTCTGCGGTGGAGCAATGAAACGGCTCGAGTCTTCCAAAAGACCGTCATAAATAGAAGTAATTTTGCTTATTGTCTGGTTATTGAGGTAGTCAGGGCTTGTTCAAAGTCAAAGTCAAAGTATATTTATTCAATATAGGCCTAAATTAAGCTCTTATTGAACGTCAACAAAAAATCTACCACCGGTTCACTAAACTAGACCTGCACAGAAGAACCGGCAAGAAACTCTGCGGTCTTGTTCTTTTTGTTATATATTTTTTTTTGATGCAATTATACACACTGCATGCAAGTGCAGAGCAAGAGTCATTTCCAAACATCCTTGTCCTCAATGTATTCTTGGATATTATAGTAGGCCCTTGCCATTAAGGTAGCTTTTTTTTGTTAGTAAAGTAAATGCGAACCCAAAGGTGGCGCGGAAGTTTGTTAACGTCGTTGAGCACTTAGTATTAGCATCGCGTGGCTTTAATGACATTTACATGTGTAATTCGCTCCCTTTCAAACGGTGAAAGGTGAAACGGATATCAAACTAAATCTTCTTCAAAACGTGCTATAATTTATTTTAAATTGAAATAATTTGTTTATTTAAACGTAGAAATACTTTCGGATTTTATCACGACATTTGGAAGACTTTTCGGGAAACTTCTCCTATTGTCAGAGTTAACCCGCGTAAAATAATTTTATTTCCATGCATGTGACTGAAAGAAATCATAGAATGTATGTTATGTATGTATAAGTATGCGTGCCTATAGGTACCCTCCGAGAGTGCACTTAGCAAGCTACCGATTGTTTAACTCGCTACCTGCCCGTATACATAATATTGGCGACAAGGATGGGACTTATACATACATAACAATGTATTATTACCTATAAATCCAAATTTAAATTTTGGTTCAATCAGTACGCGACCCTAAAAATTAAATGTTTATGTTGATTTAATATTAAAATTTTTGAAAGATACAGGTTTTTTTTTAAAAAGGACGTAAGTAATGGGTGCTTTTAAGGATTGCCCATTTTAGGTGCTCTTCAAGTTGTTTATTATATTGTTGTTTATTTAAGCAAATATTCAATTACTTGAACGCAGCCGCTATGATTGGTGGTTTATCTTTAACATATAGGTAATATTCCATCGTAGCCCTGTAGAGACGAAAATATACACACTGATTGATTTGTATGTCGTCTTGGACACCGTAAGAAAGAGATGTGAGTATGCGCCCTGAACTCCTGGGAAGAACAGCTACGAACGTTATAGTAGAGTAAAGAAAGAAAGACAGAAAAGGTTAAGCTTTTTCGGCGACTTGCACTCCGAAGTTATTGGTGCAGAGAACCGCAAGTTGTTGCAATTAACAAGGATAAATAAATATAAGCAACTGTAAATATTGCTTTAAAAACTTCAAGATTCGAATTAAAGAACTTAATTGAAATAAGGTCATAAAAACATAAAAGTTATGCTATGGACCAATGTATAGAATAGTTTACGAAATGTAACTTTAAAAACAATTGCGAGTAACAAATTTTTTACGCCTGTAACAAATTTACATCCACATAATATAATAGATGTTCGTGTTGTGGACAGCGCAACAAATGTATCAGGAGATAGCCTAAGCGGCGTGTATGTGTAGGGCAAAGGGCGAACACACAATCAAGTGTATTGGCGGCAATGTTCAATTTCGCAAGTTGCCACTCGTAAGTAGATTGCGGCTTGTTTGCGACGTGTTTCATCGATGATTGTGTGTTCAGTGCCAAACCACCCCCCAGCCCCCTTCAACCCCCGGCCGCGCAGCGCGTCTTCCGCCCAGATAGCGCGCGACTCCGCGATCCAATCCTATCCAAACAATTGGCTGCCGGTGGAAAATATTTGCAAACATAAATTATTTAGAAAAAAGGCCGCAAAACACTAGCGATTTACATAAATATCGATCCGTTTTTATGCTAATAATATTGTTGAGATTGTAAAATAATATATAAGCGGTAGAAGTGCTCTTTTTAGTTTTTAGCTTACTAATTATGTTATGTCGATAATGCATAATCTAGTGTATAAATTACAGCCAATTAAACTTTTAAGGACAGGGAAGAGGATATCCGTTATTTTATACTTTATCAGAAACAAGTTCCTGTTGTGGTAACTTGCCATCAGCAGATTTTTTTTGCTAGAGTGTTTATATACTTGTTTTATAAGCATTGTGATCTCCATTACTTATAAAATATAGATGGGAATACGAAGAAACATGAATGAGTTTTAATTTAAATATGTTAGTTACTAACTTGATTATTCTCATTCTATTTCATAAATTGTTACTCCACAATAGAAAATATATGTTTAATACTACGGGTAATTCTGTTATATTACTACCCAGGGGGCCGTCGGGTCACCCTATCCTATCATCAGACTTCGAGTAAGTACTACGTATATCTATTATCATAATAGCCTAAACATTTTGTTATTTATATTTATACCAATGGAGCAAATGAAAAACATTTGTTTATTATATATATTCTATATACAGAATAAATTTCTTTGAGCTGATTTACCACGTTCAATTTGAAATTATTAATAGCGGTTACATTTGGTTTCTCATAAAGCAATCATTTTTCTTAGAGCACTCGAAACGCAAGGCGTAAAACGAGATTTAATACGAATAACGAACAAAAACGTAAAAAATAGTTCATTACTTTTGTTAATTTTTTGTTTGGTCATTACAGGCGCGGATTTATAGGAGCGTGGAGTACGGACCAAGATTCAACATATTTTCCAAAATGAGTTTTCTAGTTTAAATTCTTCTTCTATTCTAAGGTATATCATCCGATCCAACACAGGTTAGTTTTCAACTTGTGCATATTTCTTTTATATCAATTGGTCATCTCGCAATAAAACCTCGGGGAAAGTTCAGTTACTCCTCTTCCAATGAATATACCACCTCCTCGGTCTCATTCTGGATAAGCGCGAAAGGTAAATTAGCGTGGCGGTTGTTGCTCCGGCGCGTTTCGCCATTCGATATCTAATAAATCGGCCGCCTCAGGCGCCCGTCCGCTCGCTCGTCTCGTCAAACGTCAAGGAACCCACCTAATGGGCTACTAAGTTTCACGATTAGAGACATATTAGGTTCTTTGAAATTGGCAAAGTCGGCGCCCTAAATAGAACGAACTGTGTTATATTGGCCCCGTGGTTGGCGAGTCGGCAGCCAGTTTATATTTTGAACGTGTATGTATATTTAAACTTAAATCACTTTCACGGATCGCAAAGCTTTCTAAAGCCAACTTTATCATGGGTATAATTAAAATTGTTCACCATTTTCCCATTAATCTTCTATTACCAGTATAAGTGAATAATTGAAAGACATTTCGGCTTCGAACAAACATTTATTGGACAAACGTAAACTTCTTAGGAAGCCATTCAATGTACATCAACACTAATAAAATACAATTACTTCGTATCACTAATAATTAGTTCGACTAACTAGCGTTACAATAAATAGTTACACTTGCCCGAGATGTCGGTTACAGCTAATTACGATAAAAATAAACATCTTAACATTTAATAAGTATTTATTAATTTAACTCTAGAAGGTGACATACTATAAGAGCTATATTTGTACGTAAGTTTTAGAATATAAAAACTATTCATCATAACGTTAAATACAAATGTTTATGAACAAAACATAAATAGGAACTTAGTCCGCCATTTTGATTGTGCTCACAGATTGGTAGCGAAGCGGAACGTCAAGCTTTACAGTCTAAATAAGGGTTGATTATAATAACATTAACGGACAAATGGTACGTCTCGGTCTAGATGTGACAGTCGATAGAAGATTGGTTTCACCAGGTCGCCAGTCGCTTAGGCCTCGTCTGCTGCGGTGCTGCTCTCTGTCGGGGAGAAACGGAAATTAGTAAAATAGTACCAATAGTCGCACAACGAATGACATCTACACATGACAATATTATAATATGAAGTATTTTACAAGAGTAGAGGAATATATGAGATGCAGTGCTAAGAGGAGTATATATTATATCATTCCAAATATACAGAGTTTAAATAATAAATACATAATTTCCTGTAACATATACGCATTATAACATATACATATATGTTATAATGCGTATATGTTACAGGAAATTATGTATTTATTATTTAAACTCTAAAGGGTGAATAATATTAAGTCACTTAAAATAATAAAACAGTAATAAAGTTGTCCTATTCTACATACAAGCAACGAGAAAGCCTAATTTAGAAAAAAAATTCTGTATTCAAAAACTTTGAATGTCTTCGGTAAGTTAAAGAATGATAAATTTAATTGTGAGCTTCCCAAAATATCCATTTTCATAACATTTGCGGTGAAGTTTCTGTACCTGAGTTACAACAATGTGTACAATACTTAAAAGTAATACTTTCCTAACTCTATTCACTTTATAACTGTATTAAGTAAGAATTGCATTTACTAATTTCGTCAACATCCTTATCTCTGAAATAATTAATGTGTCATTATGTATTTATTAACTTGTTTGCACATCTCCAAACCAATGAACAAACATGGGGCACGTCACGCGTCCAATCTGCGCCGTCACCCAAAGAATTGACACATTTTATCGCTTATTTGCGAACGTCGCATGTAATATTAATCACATTGCCTTTATCTGTTGCGAACATGAAAATATGTGTACTTGGGTACCGAAATTGGAACATAAATATGTCACCGGAAAATGTCTATTCGATCCCGCAAAACTCTTCACCTTAAAAAAGTAGGCCTTAAAGAGATTGTTTTTATTAGTTACTTTTCATTTGGCTCTAAAATTGTCAGTGTACTTAAAAGAAACTGGTCACCAATGTGTAAATAGATTAGACTACAATCATTATAATATGTAGAAAAAAGGATGAAAGATTTCTCGCCGCTGCGGGAATCAAACCCACGTCTTCCTGATTCGCGCCCAGACGCTCTAACCACTAAGCTAAATGTCTGATTGCAACAACAAGATTAGAATAAGGGTCCAGCTCAAGGACGACTTGAGAGTATTTTACATCTGCTATTATGTAAAAGTAAACATAAAAATAATAAACTGTTAATAATTAACTAAGTAGTGATTATGACATTTGGTTGAGACTGCGGCTATTTCTACTATTTTAATTATGTGATCTGCACGAATAACAAGTAAAAAGTGAAAAGAATAATGTAGGTTCGGGCTCTGCGTGGAGGCGGAATAGCTCTCGAGCTTGGTTCCGGTCGGGAGAATTTCCCTCGCCCACACAAATTACCGCATTTAATTCTATTCACGGCCTCTTTGCTTTACTGTGTGTATTTGGGACCAGTCAATTACACTTCTCTCTTAATTTTACCCCAAAAAGTATAAATTTTAATGCTGGCAGCGTTACCAATCGATAAAACATAAATACAACATTTGTGACTGTAATGTTTCATAATTCAAACTTTATATGCAATAGCTATAATAGGCATATAAGAAATACATTATCACCACACGAATAAGTTTATATAGAAGTTACTCGAACATCAAACATAACAAACCCGCTCCGATATATCTCCAACCTAGTAATCTGGCAACTACAACATCTACTTTTTAAATAGAACAACATTCAGCTATTATATACATTCTAAACACAAAATTCTAATGGTAAACATTCTTTCATATATAGTAAATACGTTCTTTCCTATACTACACAGCTATACAACGAAGGAAGAACTAGATGGAGGCAGTGGGAAGAGAAGAAGAGAAGAAGGAAGTTCTAGTGCAACAGACGTCACTACAGTGCCAGTGTTGTATATACATAGATTTGTGGGCTGGTGGAATCGGCTACACGCCGGAGCCTGGTTTACCGTGCTCGTCCGTATCGAGGACATCTAGATTGGGGTGCCACTGGGCGCGCTTTCCCCACATTCCCCTCAAATTCGTCCAGCCGGGCTCTCGCTTCCAGTAATACGAACCTGCAGGTTTCATACGTCTCTTTGTTAGCGTCACATAATTATGTACAAATATCTCACGTCGCACATTCCAATATAGTTTTAGTTAACCTAACAATCACTCATAGATACCTTCTTTCTAATGCTACCGGGGTACGAGGAGATGTGGAGTGGAGAGAGGAGGGAGGGGGCGCACCGGACACCGCCGTGTCGTTTAAAAGGCAACCGTCCGAAAAACGTCTCGAATAATTGTGCCCGACGACGCTGCGTAATTAGGAGGGAATTCGTTTTTGGATGGATGTTTATTTCATAGAATCTGTTATATATTACTTTCCGAGAAAAATATTAAAATGTATTTAAAGTCTCACAATTTGGCATATTTTTTTTTATTGATTTCCCTTTCTATGAAATGTATTAAGTAGGCAGGAGCTTTGATGAACAATCTTTACCTAAAGGATTATTACAAATCTTATCAAACAGCGCATGGTATTAAATATTAATCACATTTGTTTAAATTCCCGGTGTTTCAAATTCTTTGCAGCATTTATGATCATGGGTGGATTAAGAAGTTGACTAGTCTCATTCTTTAAAAATACTTTAATTTAACATTGATTTATATTTATGTTGCCCCCTTTTTTGCCGCATTATGATCAAATCTACAGCATTATATATTTTAAAGAATATTACCCTAGCTCCCGCTTCCGCTGGATCAAGGTCTAAACTGCATTCGCGAAAATGATGGATCTATAATGGCACAGCGTACGTCGATTGATTGATTATATTCGTGAGATGGTATCCTTTGCTGAATACTGAATGGAGAATATTTCGCCCCGAGTTGTATGAGGGGAGTCCGTTTCATGTGGGCGAAGATTGAGAGAAAGCTGCCTCCTCAATGTTGTACGGCTCGTTTGTGGGAAAAATATTTAAAATACAGAAATTAACGGAATATGACATTGATTGTGACATTTGCATTAAAAAAATAATAATGTAAAAATTTGTTGTGCGCTAGAAACGATTAAAAGTATTCAGAGATAAGGTCCTTGAATGATAGCGTGAAGAATGATTTCATTACTATAATTTACAGAGGTATTTTTAATGTTCCATGTTGGGTCCTCGAAAAACTTCAACATCAATAACAAAAATATTATGGGCAAAGCTTAGCTCCAGATGCTTAGCGATGTGATTTTTGGAGGAGGCCCATCATCTTCCAATTAGATAGCGCGAGTCGTGCGTCATGCGGCGGCGATTGTTATCCAATGAGTTGGGCCGCGGCTCCCATCAATCAGCTGCCCGAGGACTCCGTCGGCCCATTCGTTTCGAATGCTTCAATTAAAAACCCCATTGAAAGTTTTATGAGCCACCCATCAATTTTATGCCATCCGCGCCGTTTCTCCGAAATCGGCATATTTGCTTAAGCCCTCCGCCCTGTGCGCGCGTAGCTTTGTTTTTTTATTATTGTCATACTTAGTTCGTTCACGGAAACGTAAGCTTGCTAAAATCGCAAAATTCTGTTGGAAAAAGTCGTACCGCTGTTGTATTGCGCCTGCTTAGCTGGCCGCTTGCCCCAGGCCCCGTGCAGCGCCGACCAGCTCTTTTTCTCGGGTTTTTCCACCTTTTCAACCTGCACATAACCAGAAAGAAATGTTAAAATCTGAAGATTATAATGGATTTTTTATTATATTTTATATATTTATTTATTTAAACTTTCTGCACAAACATTTTTGTACAAAGGCGGACATAATGCCATCAGCGTTATCTCGCAGTCCACCTTGGGGTGGTCCAGAAAAGTTAAGGTAGAGGCGTTTATTACTAATTTACAAAAAAGAAAACAAAGCAATCATAAGATTTTTTAAATATCTATATTACATATTAAACCTACTAACAAAATACTACACTAATAATATCAGATAAAACGATACAATACCATACATATATATATGATTAGAGTATAATTAGAGTAACATAAAGTAAGCATATTAATGCACAAAACATACACAATATATACACACATACATATATAAACAAATATAAAATATACATACTTTATATTATATTTAACGATTCAGAGAATCTGCCGACAGTTTTTTGAGGAAGTGCTCGTGAGTTTTCCTTTTTAATGTGACGATAGGGGCATATTATGTGTGACCGATATAATGCAAACGAAAGATTCTATTTTTCTTAACCTGTTGTGCGGGGAGTATGGATTCCACTGCAACGTCATAATCTTCGGTTTCTGGTTCATCGAATGCTCTTTTGCCCCAAGAGCCGTGGAAGTTGACCCATTTGGCCTGTGCGGAAAACGTGCATAAAAACACACGCAGTTAAAGTCCGAGATCTTACAGTATATTCGATTTTTATTTCCAATTTAAGAGAAAAATTAAAAGTCGCAACGAAAGATGTATTTTTGAGAGTTTACTGTTAAACTTAAATTTTTTAAAGTTTAATATTAGGTAAAAAAAATTAAAATAAACTCACAGAAGGTCCTCGCTTTCCCCAAGCAGAGCTCATGTCTTGCCAGCCGCGTTTGCCCCAAGCGGAGCTCATGTCCTGCCAGCCGCGCTTGCCCCAGGGACTCTGGTACATATCGCGCCACGCGCGCTTGCCCCAAGCGGTATTGAGATCCTGCCAGCCCCTTTTGCCCCAAGCCGAGTTGAGGTCTTGCCACCCCCTCTTGCCCCATGCCGAGTTGAGATCTTGCCATCCACGTTTGCCCCATGCCGAGTTAAGGTCCTGCCAGCCTCGCTTGCCCCAGGCGGTGTTAAGGTCCTGCCAGGCGCGCTTTCCCCAAGCCGAGCTCATGTCCTGCCAGCCCCTCTTGCCCCAGCCGCCGCCGCCGTGCAGACTGGACCATGCTCGTTTCTCTTCGTCGGTCACTTCCAAATCGTTGTCCAGCTGTTAATGTTCAGTCAAGAGAATTGTTTAATATTTGTTACAATGTCACGCGTTGGCTGATACCTCAATAATTGCGAGTCGGTGAAAAAAGGGCGCATTACAACACCGCACAAGAAATAGCGCTTATTTAAATTTAAATAAAAAACCTAATGTAATGTGATGTTAAGTGATAACCGCCTGCCCATGGACATGTGCAACACCCGTAGGATTGCAGATGCGTTGCGACCACTAATAATGTGAGCCCCGGCTACCTCACTCACCAGACGAAACGCAGAAGTGTAACACTTCTACTTTACGCCGGTCTTCTGTGAGGTCGTGGCAACAGCGAAAACTGTTGCATGGCCCTACTACCGAGCTGTCACTGATATGATCCCTCTCTTACACTGTCTTACATCGTTCTTCAGTTGAATAGGTTTAGTTCTACTGGACTGTACTCGGTACTCGGTTATAAAAATACCTTAGAACCTCGAATACATACAGTAATTTTGACACCACTGAAGGCTTTCTCATAGTGCACATATGCCAGACATAAATATTGTGATATATGGTACTGAAGCATTTTGGAATCCGGCTTGTTCGGGAGGCTGAAAGTCATCAAGTCTGGAAGGGAGGCGATTCAAGATCACTTTCGAATAAAGAACATAGACGCTCAAAAGTGAAATTGGTTTAAAAATATCAATATAGCGTGTCGTTAGAACCGCGACAATAAATGAACACACATAGAGAGGATAACTTTTCAAAATTTTAAACATCAATATTTACTTATTAAATTTTACAAAACAAACGTTTTTAGAACACCCTTACGTATAAAACTGTAACGTAAAGTTCATTTGTAAAGGTCACGAAGCATACGAATGGGTTGAATGAATTTAAAAGAGATAAAACATACGGTTAGAAGGAGAGACTTGTAATGCGACGTTGTGGCAACGAATGAAAAAGTCTCTGAATGTATGAATCAGTCAGTTGTAATTGTATAGGCTGTTAAAAAAATTTTTTTTATTTAATTAGTATGAAAAATATATTTTTTAATAATGGATTTTTTAACGTTTTATATTTTTTTATGGTTATTGGCAAGTAGCGTTAAATGAGTGTTCATTTATTGTCGCGGTTGTAACGAAACGCTGTATACCTATGTATAAATAGTACTGATTTAAAATGGCGATATATAAATCAAATAAAACTCGAAACAGGTTATAACATCGATGGAGTATGCGTTATGTATTCTTAAACTTTGTCTCTCAGACAAGAGCAAATAAGATCTATCACTACTGTGTGTGTATTTTATCCTATATTTTATACTTTCCCCTTACTGCCATAAATAAGTATAGACGTCCACACCACCTCGATGTCCAACGTTCCACAACAGCGCGATTTTTAAGGCATTTCTTGCCTCGCACAACCACTCTGTGGAACCAACTGCCGCCGGCGGTCTTTCCGAACCGTTACGACCTGGGAACCTTCAAAAAGAGAGCGTACTCTTTCTTAAAAGGCCGGCAACGCATTTGTGAGCCCTCGGGTGTTGCAGGTGTTCATGGGCGGCGGTAATCACTTACCATCAGGTGAGCCTCCTGCTCGTTTGCCCCTTTTCTCCATAAAAAAAAAAAGACAGCGTTACAGGTTTATGCACTTCCAAATAAAAACGGTTCTTAAAGGTCAGAAGCAGTTTGTAATTACAGGCGTAACATATAAACGTCTTATATTATATTATGTACGTTTTCTTCATATAAATATGGTATTTAAAGAATAATGACTCTAAGAAAGAATTAATAAAAAAAGAGGAAGATATTTATCGATTATGTGAATGTTGAATTATAACTTTAACCGTAAGATAGTATAAATGAGTGGGTTATATAAATATCATTTGATTGTAGACGAGAGCCAAGTAGGCGATTATATTGTACCTATACAAGAGCTTTTCATTTAGTTTCCTTGCTTTGTTCCCGCGTGCCCAGTCATGCTCACAAAGCTTTGTGTTGACCAGGAATCCGGCCGCGACTCTGGAACGGTTCAAGAGCCCCCCTTGTTTTCCTCAATTAGAAATATCCGATAGAATGTTCACCAAAGAGTTTAAACGTGTTCAGAGTAAATTTCTATAAGAAATTTCAACAGATCCATAAATGTGCACTGAGAGACTACTTGATATATTCGTTTATAAGGTTTAAGGAGGATTGAGTTAGCCATTATCAAGAAATCGTTAACTTTTAAAATCGGGAAATATTTCTATTAACAATAAAACAGTTATGTGGCAGCGACATTGCTAACCTCTAATATAGTCTTGAATTAACACAGTCATAACAAGAAAACTGTACTTAGATACTTTCACTATCGCCAGTCTTTTTTGTGGCCGTGATATTTGTATCGACGAGCCAGCCAAATAGGATTTTCATTAAATCTGATTCTCTTTATTGCATTGCCCGCGCAGAGTGTGACCGCGCCCTACTCCTTCCCGGTTACGAAGCCATTGGCAGCCCCAAGCTGCCGTTAAAGTTCGCCACTTCAGAGGTTTGAGTTTTTAAGCGTTCGTCTTTAAGGTGTTTCCCTACAAACAATACTTTTTTACACGGTTGAAGTGGAGCTTTCTTGCTTACTAACATTTTCATGACCTAGTTTTGCAATGTGTGCGTCGAAATAAAGGCTTCGAATCAGTTCTATTTGTTCTTTAGAACTAAAATGTTTCCATAACTTTCTTATTATTTAGGATGTATCAGCTCTTGGTAACAAGAGAATTTTTATTTGGTTAAGAAAGATTTAATTTTTACCTCTTAGCTGTTATTAAGTTATAAGTTAATTATTTCAAGAGCTTACAGTCACAAAATCCGGCTTCTAATTAGATTTTTAACTTTAGATTGGTAAGACCAAGATATAAGATACAAGCGGTCGTTGTTGATTTAAAATTGTGATAAAATTTCGATTTAAACTTTCATAAATTAAGTCCAGCTCCTTATAATTTTAAATTTTCCCTACAGCTTGTGACATAGCCAGAAGTAATATTTTGTGCGTTGGTCGTCGTAAAAATTAACAGGGCGCGAAGCGGGGCCGTTAAAGTAAGTTCAATTAGTGTGCCGCCTCAACGACCGTGGAGTGTTCGGGTACAGATGGTTTGTACAATTGCTTGAAATGGAAAGGATTTTTTTATGGGATCTACTTTTGGAATTCAATTTTTGAAACGAAATTTAGCTTTAAGTATGAAAAGAATAGATAGATTAAAGGATCCATGCAAAGCAAGTGGAGATATCATTTCGTTAGTTCAGTTAATTAAAAATAGTATAAATGTAACGTCAAGCACTGTGCTGTGTAGTCTACTTTTAGTAATTGAGCTAATTTTATAGTCCCTAGGATAATCTGGACTAGCTCCTTTCCCCACTCCTCGACACGCGTGAACCCACAAGATTAGGACCGAACCGCCCGTGGAAAGCCAATTGCATGAAAAATTTACATTAGAACTGGTTTGTTGAGCGCAGTGTATGTTCTTATCTTTATGATTGAAATTTCGCAATTAAACATTGAGATGTAGGCAAATTCACAAAGGAAGGAACACGCTCAGAGATTACTCAAGTCTGAAATATCGGTACATTGCTACTTTTTCGTCGAGAGGTAATGTAAGCCATTGAACCGAAGACTTATAATGAGAATTTCCACACGAGTTCTCTGAGATCATAACATGCCTATCATCTTTTGGTGCGTCAATATGCCTTAATGATGCCTCTCGATTTTAATTTTGCCCAGAGGAATTCAAGCAGATGCTTAGGGACAATTGTTATTCCAATATTAATTTCAGTTGGGTTTGGTTAATGGTTTTATTTGGGTATTTGGGTTAATTTAACAGACTACCTAATGCTTAAAAATATTTAGCTTAAGTTTGAATTTGACGGAAGTTGGTCTTTATAAAAATATTTTAAAGAATTATTATATTATAACAATTATGATACTATCAAATTTAATTTTATTTGGAAAAAACATTCCAGGCTTTAATTTTTTTATAATTTTATAGCAAAATTGTGTTGTCATTTGTAGTGATTTGTGCATGTCATTGCGGTCGGAAAATACCAACCATTGTAATACACCAATGTCATACGGTGCTTTATCTCATACTTTTTTTTTTTTTTGGGCTTGATGAGCCACTGTCGGCCTTAGGGGCCTTTACAGATCCGACGGACTTGAGGTGGCCGGGCGCTCGAGGCGCCTAGCCTGAACCTCGCGTATTTATTATTACGCGTTATGGTGACTAAGCTCGAGGGCTCCCGAAGGAACCTCACCTCGTCACGCTATTTAATTCACCGGTTTGGGAGGCCGCCTAGCTCTTAGGGCGCTTTGGCGGGGGCTCCATGGAGTGATCAGGCTCAAGGGTCCCCGAGAGGGGACCTCGGCTTGGGCTGTCACTCAACACGCGTTTAGCATTCCGATTCGAGGGTGCCCGAGAGGGCCGGACCTCGGCTCGATCGGTAGCTGTTATCTGACTGGGGGGATCTCTAGAGCTATCGTTACTACCACTTCGTAAAGCGTTGGCGCTGGGAGAAGAAGTGGCGGAAGAAACTCCAGCAACGCTTCTATCTTGAACTGGGGAGAACCTGCCAGGTACGTGGCGGAACCTAGTATATGTTTGCCGCACTCGCCGGCGAGTGCGGTTTGTGTTGGTGTGTTTGCGAAGTTTTTTAATCCTTTCGATGGCGATAGTCGTCTCATCGTCAGGGAAATCGAGAACGTGTCGCGGTCTACGGTGATTGTGGCGGAACGTACCTAGCGGCAGGGGTCTGTAGGTGGCGGCACCTACGATTAGCGGGTTGGGATGCGCGGCGGCGGAATCAAAGTATCGGCGCGACGCCGACTTCAGGAATTGAGCGATGGTGGGCAACTCTAAATCGACATGAAGGTCGATATTGCGCATGTACCAGGGTGCTCCCGTGGCTCTGCGCAAAAATCGATTTTGGATGACCTGAAGCCGGTGTATTTGCTTCGGAGCAATGTGTGCGAAAACTGAACTCGCGTACGTCATGATAGGG